TAGGAGTTGGATGGCGGAGACGGAAAGCCTCCCACTTCTGCCTTCTCAGAAGACAGGACGTCATCTGCACACATAAATCAGAGCGGACGGCTAAAACTCGCTGGGCTGGGCAACCCTTGCCTTCCATGTTCTCAGTTCATTACCTTACCAATTAACAAGGACAAACACGCCCGGCCCGGAGAGCTTCTTCTGGGGCTCAGACTAATTCTGCAAGCGTGGGGCTTGGTGGCCCTTCTGAGACCTGCAAAGCCTCCCTATTCTCACTCTGGGCTGTCAACCCTCCTTTTTGGACAAAGGGGCAGAAAACACTCAGAAAACGGCTCCTGGACAGAGGCTGAGCCAGCCGGGAGGTGGAGGCCCACATCGTGTCGGGACTGAATTCATGCTTTGCCCTCGGGCGTGCTGGCGCCTTGCCTGGCCCTCAAGCCACATGCTAGACCCACAGGTCTCTGCCTCTCTGCCCAGCTACAGACCCAGCACCAGGCGGCTTCTCCCAGACTCAACTCCAGGCTGAATTTCTCCAGCTGAATCATCTGCACAGAAAACCAGGGAGCTCTCAGCCCTGCCAACTTGCTTCGCCTCCGATGCAGGCCCCCTGGGCGCTATTTTAACGTTTGGACTTTGTGGCCATAGTTCGCACTGTTTCCTTGCTTGTGGTTTCCTCCCCGTGGATTTTCCATTCCCAAGTACCCATTTGCTCCTTGGAACAGACTTCGCCTGGTCCTGGCTGCCTTGGCGGGGCCTTCCTCCTTTCCTGGAAGGTAACTCCACGAAGACCCTTGTCTCTGCAATCCCAATGGCCAGCAGCAGCTCCCCGAGGCTGGCCTCCTTGCAAGGAGGAAGGTCTGACAGTTTGGTGGCTTCTCCCTGCCCGACAGACATTCACAGCCCAGAGACCTTCTAAGCCACAGTCTGCTGAGTACCAGGGCTGCGGCATCAGGGCCCGTCACCATGGCAACCCTTGGCTTCCCAGGCCGGCCCAACCCATTGTCTGCCTGGCAGCTCGGCTCAGTTGTTTGCTGACTCCCAAGACTTTGCTGACTCAGCTCCCAGCATTCCCAGATGGACCTGCTGCCCCTCGCCTCCAAGTGGGTTTTTCGGACTGCCCCCCAGCCACCCTCTGCCCCACTCTTCCCCTGGCCAAGCCTTGGAAATCTTTCCACTTAGCAAAGCCTTTCTGAAGAGGCCCCTTACAGGACAGGCGGCCCCTGTATTTATTTTAGCCACCGCTCAGGCTCAGCTGGTCAGCCAAGGCACGCTCCCTCCGCCGGGCCAGCACGGGAAGAGCGAGGACGGGGCTGCTGAGCACACACTTGCTGAGGCAGCGACGGACACAGGCCCCAGGCTGGTTCTCCTATTTTTTTTTTTTTGAGATTTTATTTATTTATTTGACAGAGAGAGACACAGCAAGAGAGGGAACACAAGCAGGGGGAGTGGAGAGGGAGAAGCAGGCCTCCTGCTGAGCAGGGAGCCTGATGCGGGGCTCGATCCCAGGACCCTGGGATCATGACCTGAGCGGAAGGCAGACATTTAACGACTGAGCCACCCAGGTAGCCCTGGTTCTCCTCTTTTAATTCGAACTTCTCTGACAGCAAAACTCTTCTTTCTAACACACTCTCAAAGTTGGTACAGAAAAGACAGCATTTCCTCTTAACTTACATCCTTCGGCCCAAAATAAAACTCCCACCGCACTCAACCCTGAAATGGAGGGGCACCTGGGTGGCTCAGTCAGTTGAGCTTCCGACTCTTGGTTTTGGCTCAGCTCATGATCTTGGAGTTGTGGGATGAGTCCTGTGTCGGGCTCCGTGCTCAGCGGGGAGCCTACTTGAGGATTCTCTCCCCCCTCCTCTGGCTCTCCCCTCCCTCACGTTCACATTCTCCCCCGCCCCCACAAAATAAATAAATAAATCTTTAAAAGAAGTACTGAAATGGAAAAGAGCACAGGCATTTGCCGAGGTTTCCTGTCTTCCCCGCTCTGGCACCCAGATTCCACCTTCCAATGCTTTATTTTCCCCAAAGTTTTTGCCATAATTTCTCCTAAGTGTTTAAATAACTTCCCGGAATAAAACAGTCTATTTATATATGTAACAAAATTACACAATTAAATTCATGTTCTCAAAAATATTTAATGATATAGAAGTTCACGAGTTAAGTGAAAAGAGCAGGATAAAAAAGCCACACATGCGGCAGGACACCGATTTTATAGAACACACACACACAACTCAGAGCAACACCAGACAAGACAGCGTCACGGCAAGAACAGTGATTACCTACGTGGTGGCGACCGAAAGTCACTTTTTACACGTGCGAACGGTTCGTACAACTTTAAAAGCAGTTACGCGGGGGTTTCTGAAGAACTGCCAGGAACGGGGACTAACGGCACACCCGGAACCGACCCCCCAGAGCTCTGACAACAGCACACTGGGCTGGAAAATGCTTGAAGGGAACCCTGCCCGAAGGCAGGACGGGAAAGACGGCTGTGGATTTAAACGTTTAGTTTCTTCTTCATCCCAATGTGACTGTGAGGAATACAATCTTGGTCCCTGTCTTCTCGGGGTACTGCCCCGCTACATACGGACAAGCCTCGTGTACCCCCAACGACGCAAGCACCCCGAGGAACAGCCACCAGCCCGTCTTGAAGACGTCAACAGGCTGAGGTCGAGCGTCTCCCGCAAAGTCACACGGCTGGCCGGGGCCCCTCAGGATTCCAACTCGGAGCTCTCATACCAAAGCCTATTGCCTTAACCACTATATTGCCACATCCAAACCTGAGGGATAAAACTACCAATTAGACAATTAAAACAAAAAAACACCACCATCTGGCACAAGGAAAGGAACCTGGGCCTGCATCTCGAGGCACTCACACCCCATGGGGCAGAAATCCCAGGTGTGGCATGGAGGCAGCCGCCCGCCCTGGGGATCCCAGCCCAGGCCTCTCCCAGACTGACTTCTCAGACAGTGACGGCACCTGAAGGGCCCGCTCAACCATCCTTCTCCCCTTTCCTGTTTCCAGGCCATGCTCTCGAGGGTCCACCATTTCCCGCCCCCAGGCCCAACAGAGGACAGCTGGGAACTGACCTTTGTTTACAAACTAAAACCCCAGAATCCAAGAATCTTGTCATTTATTTTCACATCTATCTTTCCTATAAAGGAATCTCTTCTAAAGACCTGGCTTTAAAGAACCACAAAATCAGCAACTAGGGGTTTCAAGTTCTAAGTCATGTTATTTCTTTTTCTTAAAATAAGCACGGGCTACTTTGGAAATCACACACACACACACACACACACACACACATGAGATTGAGTTTTTGTTAAGAATAACGCAAGTGTAGAACTCACCACCATATTGTGAACCAAAGGATGATAGAAATGACAAAAAGCCCCAGCTGCTGACGTCGACAATCACAGGGACAGACATCCAGGGTGGATGGCACAGCTGCGGGTCTGACCAGGGCCCCCTGAGCTGGCCACAGAGCCAAGTCTCCAGGATGCCTGAGCCCTCCACAAACCCCAGACAGGCTCCCGGGCACGCCTGCCCCCCCTTCCCCCCACCCCGGCCCGCCAGACCAACGGCTGGCAGCTCCCTCTAGTGGCAATGCCTGCCTCCTCCACATGCACAGCCCTCAAGAGAGCAGGACATCAGGCCAAAGGCAAGCCTGAATGGAACAGAACGCTGGGGGCACTGCTTTCATTCCTCCTGAGATCTGCCGCCCAGGAGTGAGTATCGCTGTGAAGACACAGGGAACTAGGGAAGGAGGCAGAATGCTGATGATGGCAGATTGTCAAAATTCTTGGCAAGACCAAGACAGAAAACATGCACAAGGTAAATTTAGATATAAATAAGATGCAACGAAGTTAGACCTTAAACAGTCTCTAGGGAATCAAAACCAACCCTGGGGGGGTGGCAGAGTTCCAGGGAGCACGTGTAAGCGTGGGTCTGAGATGCCGAGGGGCCATCAGAAGAAACAGGACAAAAACCAACAGTTTAAATGAACAGAGACGTTAAAACCCACATCCGAATGACCAGCCTTCCACATAATCTGTAGGAAGCTGAATCCACAGGACGAATTTGAAATGCTACCTAGGACTCTCACAGATTTAAATGCACAAATGATGTGACCCCGCCTGATATCCTTGGTTACCCAAATCACTTCTGACCCTGGAGGATCAAGAATTGCGACAACCAGGGAGAAGACGAAGAATGGGTTTCCATCATTTCCCCCAAAGCCATCCGGAAGAACAGCATCATCACCGGCCTCCTGCCCCCCCTTGGAGAAAACGCTAGATGGCAGATTCATCTGCACATACAAGTTCCCGTCAAGCCGTAAAGGGCAAGACGGGGCTGTCCAGGCGCCTCCCTGCTGCTCCTTCTTCCAAACAGCCTGGGGTCCGGCGCTGCCCACAGCGTGTCCTCGGTCTCAGGTGAGAAGTCAGTTAGGACAGAGCTCGTTCTAAAGAGACCACAGGAAAGGTTTCCTGGATTTGAGAGCAATTCTTTCAGCATAAAGTCATCAGATGAAAAAACCCCAAAAAACGAATGGCTCGAGTCCAAACGTTTTATCTATGAAACCTTGATCACACTGAAGAGACCAAACGTGATCTTTGAACACTGGACCACGGGAAAGAGTGTGTGGACGGCATCAGGTGAGCAGGGGATGAGCACGACTCGCGGCGGTGACTGTCCACAGGCAGACCCTGCTGCTGGGACCTCCCGCCTGTCATCGATGGGCGAGGACCAGGGGAGCCCCCACATCTTGTTATGCTCGCGAGCCCGCTGGCCGGCCCTCCTTCCTCTTTGGTAGATTTTTGTGGCCCCAGTTTCCCTATTTTCATTTAGATTCCAACAACCAGGTCTTTGAAGAGCTTTGTGAGGAATCAACAGTGTTCTCTCTGTTTTAATGGTGTACAAACTTCTCCCTGCTGCTTTAACCCTTTAGAAAATAAAACAGTTAAGTATGAAGAAGCATACAGAACACTAGGGCAAAACTCTAAGTCATGGAGCTTTCAAAAGAGTTAAATTGACTCTAGATTCACGAGTTACAGAGGAAACACTGTTTGCAACATAAGTGCACCACTCCCTGCCATCACCATCAGTCTGACTTCAGGCTGGAGACGGGAGTCCAGTTTTCCGGTAAAAGCTCCTTCCCTTACTATGATGTCAGTATCAGTTTATTTTTCGATAGAGTTTGGGTTTTGGGTGTACTTTCTCTTCACGCGTCTCCTCGGTTTCTCTTGCTCCAATTTTCTCTGATGCTCCAGGAAGTTTAAAGTTATAATCTGTGGTGATGTAAGGTATTGTCCCTTCAAGCCCATGCTGAAACAGAAACATGAAGAGAACGTATGGAAACACCCCAAATCCTGCCAATTAGAGTTTGCAGCATTTCATTTCTTCCCCAGAAAATACTGTGAAAAGGGAGAGTCTGGGTGAGGTCCTTGCACTCCTAAGACCTCTGGTCCCCCTTCCTGCAGAGGGCCCACTTGACCTGATGGCCCAGGTACAAAGGTGACTGCCGCCTTTCTGTCCAATTCAACTGCACAAACACATCGACCAGCACAAGAGTGTGGGGGTGGGGGGAGGCGTGGGTGCGCTTCTCTCTCAAACAAGTTAAGCAGCTAAGAGGGGAGAACATCCACTGCCTCCCCACGCCACCACACAGATGTCCTCAGGCAACATGACCTTCCCGCGACCTTCTCACTGGTGCACCTACAGACCAGCATCAGGAAGGAGTCATCCTGGGGAGACCACCTCTGTTCTCCCCTCCCATAACCTACTTCTGGGATAATGTCTCTACCACGGGGCTCCTGGCCACAAATGATGGCAATTCATGGCCATGGGCCTCTAAGGCCACCTGGACACTCCATTTGCCTCGTTCAGCCTCTCCAACAAAGTGTGGAGTTCCCGCACAATAACCTGTCCCCATGACGCTCTCTGGCTACCCCCAGGGCTGCCCCTGGGAGTGGCACTCACTTGGCTCTTGAAGACACACTGTGGAATGGAAATGGCTCCGACGAGCAGACAATTCACATTTCTTAGCTCCTCCGGGGACACAGGAGTGAGGATGTGGTAAAGCCTCTTCTCCATGTCGATCCCTCTACAAATTCCTTGAAGACACAACACACACACAAATAATCCTTTCTGGAAGATATTATACCTCCCTACCACTAGGAATTGTAGAATGGCTTTTAAAATAAGAATTTCCATTTCAACTCTGTTTTGCTTTGAAAATATAAAGTTTCAAGAGATGGGAGAACTTGACTACTCTTGGTCAAGACTCGTCAAATCTCCCATCTCTTGGAACCCTTCCCCTTGTTCAGCCGTGAGCAACCAAAGTGGCCAAAGTCCTAGACTGTCTCAAGTAAGGCACACCCAGGCCAGGAAGAAAAGCCACCCCATGTGGAACACGCAAATGACTCAATCTTTCCCCGTCCTCAATTCCTTCTTCATGGTCTGTACCAGGTGACACAGTTTCTGAAGTAGTGTTGTCTAACTCAGAAACGTGTATTTGATTATGTAAGAGTTTTGCTAATTTTCGGTTACATAGGTCCAGCACCCTTCCAGAAACATACCCTGACATTTATTGACCTCAGTGAGCCAGGCGGACAATCATGTGAGGTAGGCTTGGCAAAGGAGGAAGGGCCCAAAGCACGGCCAGGCCAATGGTCCTGGGCCAGAGTGATGGGGGCACCAGGATGTGACATACTCACATCTGTCCTCAGATCACCCAAAGGTGCCAAGCCCAGCACAGAAACGGTGGCTCTGACTGGCAGAATAAGAAGAGATGAGACAGAGGAATCAGACAGGTTTTGGCAACAAGCTACCACCCCTGCTAGGGGGTTGGATGTGTTGAATGAAGGCAAGGGGGTGCCAAGGTAGACCCAAAGGTCTGGCGTGGACAACGAGTGAATCTTCCAAGGACTCCTCACAGGCCTGGGAACAGTAGATGGTGCAGGGTGGAGGGGATCTGGGGAGAAAACTAGGACCTCAGTCTTGGACCTAAGTCTCAGATGCCAGTGAGATACCCAAGTGGAGAAGCGAGCTGGGCTTGGAGTTCAGACACACAGTCATGCTACAGAGATCCTGTGGGGAAGTCAGCCTAAAGATGGATCGAGGGCCCTAGCAGATGGACAGATGGCCTAGGGAAAACATGTCAAGTGACAAGAAGGCCATGACCAGGCCCTTAGGAATCCTGGCAGGAGAAGCAGAGAAAATGCTGCTTCCTTCCTGCCCACCAGCCCCAGGCACACTGTCTAGAAGCCAGAGGCACTCTGACCACTCCAGCTGAGAGATAGATCCAAGGTCAAGACCAGCCACATACAGTTGGAGAAGGGTATTGATTTCAGTAGGTATATAGGCATGTTTTACTTTCACTCACCAAACCCCAAACAATCACAGATTGGAGTCTGGGCGAGTAGGATGGGACCATTTGCGTATCCTCTGACATCATCCAGGATCTTGCAAAGACCAACCCAGCTGGCATTCACAGCGTATAATATATGGGTAGGAGCGACATCAGCATGAATAATCCGGAGCGCAACCGCATTGAAAGGGACCTGGAAAATAAATGTGCACCTCCCTCTATTAATTCTACTGGAAAGGCTACTTTTAATTTTTACAAGTTGACTAGGCAGGTATCTAAAGTTATATTGGCCAAACTGCCCACCAGAAAGTATCTAAACAGAAATGCTAACAAACACTGGTCAGTGTTTCACTACTTTAATACAGAGTACCTAAGAAATTCATACAAAGTTCTTCGCCAGCCAACACTTGCTAGAAATCCAAACTGATGCCTGGAACTTTCTTATCTAAAGAGACACATTAAGACACAAATCTGAAGATATTCTAAATACGTTAAAGTCAGGGGAGACTGAGAAAACCCCACTCGCTGAGAGGTCTCCTAATGTCAGAAAGCAAACCTCCATTCAGTGAGAAAAAGCTTCCATCTATTCTCTATGTAACATACTGAATTAAGAAAAATGGACTGAACTCCAGGAGCACAAGGTAAATACAGTGGAGCCTTGAACAACACAAGGGCTAGAGGCACTGACCTCCCCACCCCATGCAGTCAAAGATCAACAAATAACTTCTGACCACCCCCCCCAAAAAACTTAACTCCTAAGAGCCTCCTGTTGATCAGAAGCCTTCCCAATAACATAACAGCCGATTAACACATACTTTGTGTGTTGAGTGTATTATATACTATATTCTCACGATAAAGTGGGCTGGAAAAAAAAAAATGTTATTTAAAAAATTACAGGGAAGAATACATTTACAACACCGGACTGACTGTATTTATCAAAAAAACTCTGCATATAAGTGGACCCGTGCAATTAAAACTGGTGTTGTTTAAATGTCAACTGTAACTACCTTTGACGTGTAACTCTCTGGGTAATTCCCGATTTGTAAAGTACAAAAGTATTTTGTTATACTGTTTAGATTCCAAAACCAAATTTGAAATAGTAAAAGGCAGATGCAATTAGTGGTAGATAAGCTTCAAGTTCCACTGTAGAGCATCTCTGAGTAAATGACCCCATTGACCAAAACTTCATTCAACTAACTGCCTGAGATTCTCCAGGAGAGAAGATCTCACCATCAAGCCTGGGAGACACATCCTCGTTGGCCAGCCCCACTGCTCCTGCCTCAGGAGTGCCTCCGGAGCGTGACCTCAGGCCAGGGTCTCCACCCGCCTGTGCCCGTCTCCAAAGCTGTAAACAGGGAATGAAAGAGCCTCTCCCTCACTGGGCTGCCACAAATCCATCGAGCTGTTCCATCTCAAGTGCTTAGCAGAACGCCCAGCACACAGGGAGTGCTTAGTATGGACAGCACAGGGTGAATACTCTGGGCTCCAGTCCCAGCCCAAACTTTTACTAGCCACCTCAGGCAAGCTGACTCAGTGTCCCTGACCTCAGTTCTAGCATCTGTAAAATGGGATAATAATAATACCATTGTGAGTAAAGAAGTTAACAGGCTCAGAACAGAGCACAGCAGAGGGTAAGCATTTAGGAAATGCCACCTATTGTTTTTTCATCTTTTGTTATCTGGAATTCTAATATCATGGTGGTTTCTTCCCAAAACAATTCTAAGGAGCTAGATTCCAAGGTGCAAATACTCTGGTGCTAGAATCCATCTTTTTTTTTTTTTT